GGATTATGAAAGTTACAATTTTTAAAGATCAAATTACTCTATTTAAAAGTAAAATTATAATTGTTCGAAATTATTCATAATCAATTACAATATTTTGATAAATCATGAATAACCTCAGTTATAAATTGGTGTAACTCAGACCATCAAAATAATAAATTTTAATACGATATCAAATATTTCTCAACTTAGAAAGGTATTTTACAGCATGCTCATTAGTTGCGCTACAATACTTTCTGGTCATATCAAGTTCCGAAATCCACTCTTCAACGTAATGGGGTAAGTGACGAAGTGCAAAATGTAGCACACAAAAGTCAACCAATGATTCACATCAAGTCTATCAGATGTCAATGTTACATCCATTTGATTACTATTTTATATGACAAAATTGTAATTTTTAAGGGATAAATTATAATTGTCTAAAAAAAGTTACGATCACAAATATTCATGATCGATAATGAAAAACGTGATATCGATATTAATATTTTATGATCAATTATGTCTTTTAAAATTGTAACTTATACCTCAAAAAAATAATAACTTAACCTTAAAAGATAATAATTTTCAGTACTGATGCCCCCTCTGATACTGTAAAAGCTCCCTAAATTCTAAGGGTTACTAGTTGAGGTTTCTTTGTTTTTTTTTTTTTAATTGAATACAACTTCATCTTGTCTTTATATTTGACCCTTCTGTTCGTATCTATATAATAAAGTAATTTATAATTCAAATTTTAAAAAATAAATAAAATATTTTTTATTTTTCACAGTTCAGATCAATTTAAATTTTATTTCAAAGTTAATTTAACGACTAATATTAACACCCTAAATTTAATAGAAAAATAGATATCTAAGAGTGTATTTGAAGTGACTTTTTAAATATACTTTTAAAAATTATTTATCATAAATACTTTAAAAAAAATAGTAGTTGAAACTGCCCTACCACTACCTCTACCACCAGCGCCGCCAATGCCGTCGCCACCCCACCACCACCACCACTATCGCCGCCATCACCACCACCACCATCGTCTCCTACCAGCACCACTGCCGCCCACAACCTCTCACCCCTATTATAACAAATGCTTAAATTCATTTATCTCTCCTCTATGTTGTGATTTGATTTTAGATATGAATACAAATATGTTTATTATTTATCATTTTTTATTTTTATATGCCTTCAAATATAGACAATAACTAATAGTTCTATAATTTGTCTTCGGAATACGTTTATTAGTGTCGTATTTATCATTTTCAACAACTATGAAGAAGGTATTATCACCTCAAAACTTCATATTCTAAACCATAAAAAGAGTTAACTATTGTAATGCACATTCAGAAAGTATTTTGTAGGGCTAACTACAGATTACCTCCCTGGCGTTCAGTCCCGTTACAGTTTACCTCCTTCATCTTAAAAAGTCTATAGTTAACTCCATAACGTTAAGGAATGAACTGAAATCGTTTGCTTTTTTGTTCTATTTAACTGAGAGTCGACCACATGCTCCACAAATTCACGTTAGCACCTTTTTCCATCAGTCTCCACCAAGTTAATGCCCAAAGTGCTCTTCTATAGTTCTATACACAATATAAGCCCTAATCCTCTAACAGAAGACAATGGCAGAAGAAAGGAAAAGAGAGGGGGATGAAGAGATGAAAAGAGACATAAACAAATAGTACTCAATCAATTTAACAATATTATTTTCGAAAATCCACAAATTGACAACATTGATCATGTTACGTGCAAACCATGCGTGACCCAGATAATTTTTAAATCAAAATCATAACATCAATGTGAAAAATTCCAAATAACACAAAAAACAATTCAACATCAATGTGACAAATATAAATCCCAAATCGCAATTTGACCTAAACAAATGTAATGATCTATACATTTTTTAACTATCAAATACCTGATATTATTGGACAGATTTTTACATGCAATTCATATTATACCTCATTCAAAACCCTAATCGAAGGTTGGAATCAATACATTTGTGGACACAATTCAGTACCTCCTGTTGTTGTGTTCCTTCGTTTTGTTGCTTCGGTTCACCATATCTGTGATGCCATAAGCAAGATTACAACTTGAAATTGCTAGATCGTTGTCTCTGGATTTCTCCTTTGCTTCCTCTTCATATCATTCTATAGTACTTGCACCGACATTCAGTGTGTGTAGTGAGCCATGAATGGAGGAGTAAGACCATTTCATGTCTCAATGAAACCCATCATCTATAAATATCCTATAAAATAAAAATGCATTTGATATAAATATTTGCAAACCCAGGTGGAGAAAACATCTGATTATGATATATATATATATAATCGTGTCAACATCGGATTCCTCATATTTGACACAAACCGACAAGTTTATTCTTCGTTAACATAGTAAATCATTTCTCTTAATTTTATCAAGTAATAGTCAATTCAAATCCACTAATTTAATATTAGATTCTTGCCGTATTATCATTCCGCCCGCCACAAAAATCATCACTTCTATAAACAACACAGAGCACACACGTAACCTTACGAGGAATACGGATAACTTTATATCACCATCTAAGCAATTTACTTTAGAATTCTTCTAAGTTGTGTTGCTGATAACCACATTTACAATGCGAGAAAGACATGTATGGCTGTGTTATTTCGTGCTTTCGTAAGCTTTATAGTAAAAATACATAGTTTACGACGCAGATTATTGTGGGTGTTTCATGAACTCACGTAAGAATAGACAAAGAAATTAATATTTATACTTAGTATCGATTCCACTTGTTGCCTAGTAGTATTTAACTTCATCCGTGTAGGGTTTCAAGGGATCAATGCTTCCACCCGCCAACTCAATATGTTGAGTTAAAACAAAGCATACCAAACCCACTATTCTTTTAGGGAAAAAAAACATAGTTGAATGACATTTGTTGGACAAAACTATTTGTTCCGCGACTTGACTACGGTAGAACAAAAAATATCGGTACCATATGTCCACATTTTACTATTTTAATGGGTATTTTTACAATTTTTATAGGTTATTTTAGAATAAAAAAATTTTATTACTTTTGTGGATGATTTACAGCATTTGTGGGTATTTTTACAATTGTTGTGAGTATTTTTATCACTATTGTGCAAACTATTTTTACCATTTTTTTTTGGGTACCACAATAGTGGTAAACGCACCTATAAATGTGATAAAAGTTGGTATAATATCGAAATTTTATTTTTCATCACCTTAGACACTTCCTTTATATTGAAATTTTATTTTTCAATACGACAGACACCTCCTTTGTTCTGTTACCACTATTTATGCTAGTATATACAAGCTAATAACAAAGAGTAAGGTGAATTTAACTGATGTCAACGACTCCTTTTTCTTTTTTCCTTTTAACTGGATCCATAACTCTACATTAGGAAAAAAAAAAATTAAAAGCAAGAAGGTTTTACCTAGTAGAACTTGATACAATCTTGTTAGTTGTAGCACAAGAGATTTGAGAGACAGGAAATTAGTATCTATAAAACTACAAATAAAAAAAAAAAATTGTGGAGCATTATAAGTGTACTCCACCCTCTTAAATTGAATTTTTAAAACACAGCATACCAAACCCACAATTGTTTGGAGAAAAACACAATTGAATGACACTGTTTGGACAAAATTATTTGTTTTGTTACCAATGCTTACGCTTCTATAAGAGCCAATAAAAAAGAGTGAAGTGAATTTACCTGCATGGTTAAATGTTATCTATCTATGTCAGATAGCAATACGAAGTCAACGACTCTTTTACTTTTTTCTCTTTGAATGAATCTGAATCTTGAAATTACTTTAGATTACTTTTTCTGTTGGCATCCTATATTTTATTTTCATCCAACAAGATTGATCTTAGCAACAAAATTTATTTATTTTTTTTTTTTGTCAAAAAATTGGAGGGCCGCCCTTGGTCAAAGTTACATCATTTGACTCTGAGTTTTGAATTTTCTTTATTCTCGAAGTCTAACAATACTAAAAATCAATTTATTTTTTGAATCATATTAATTTTAATAAGATTTTTTTTTTGTTGGTGTTGATAAAAAGGTAGGGGCAAGAGAGAGCGTTCAAAGACCACTCCAATAGACTTTCACTAGTATATCATTTTTTATTTTAGTTAAATTAATATAACGGTCAATTACTAAATTCTAATAAACATCTAAGATTCGAATCTCCAACCTCATAAAATACCCCAATGGGCCACCTCCAACTAGATGGCATTTTACTAAGGTTAATGTTGAACAATCTAGAGAACAACAAATTCAGCACCGAATAAGAGTAATGTTAGATGAATTTAAAAAGTAGACTTAAAAATTAAATTTGATAATCTCAACTATTGAATAGGTAATGGATCTCAATAAATACTAGGACCTATTAATCACCGAATAAAGTCGGCATCTAATAATAAAAAAGTACTAAATTTACCGGGTCATGCCGTAACTCAGTAAATATTCCAACTGAATGCTGAAGTTGCTCTTTACCAGCTGCGATAGGCGCGAAAGCAGGAGATAGTTGGCCCGCACATAAATATTAAAAACAAATGTGAGCCAGCGGACCTCAGAATTTCCACTACCTATATATAGGAGAGAGACACTCTGCATTCCACCCATCTTCTTCCTCACCAGCTTATACAGTCAGTCTCACACACCAAAACCAGAGAGTGTGGCTGCTCTTATTATTCAGAGAGAGAAAGAGAAGAGAGAAAAAGAGAAAGAGGAGGAGACAGAGAGAACACACGCCTGATGTGAATGAATGTTTTTTTTTTTTTTTTTTGCAATGAGGGGTACCAATGAAAAGAAGACAGCACAAAAGAACGACAAAATGGTATGGGCCTGACGAAATGAGAGATTTATCAATCATCAGAATTAAAAATCCTCCAACCAAACAGCCGAAAAACAAATCACATACTCTCAAAAGTGTTGAACTATGACCTTTTTCTGAATATTTCATACCCTTCTTCATAACGAGCAAACCCTCTCTCTCTTCTCTTTCTCTCCTTTATGAGAATACCATCATCATTGTTTTCAAGAATCCCAACTACTTTTTATAAACACTACAACCAACTCCTCTCCTCTAACCTTTTCACCTCCCGTAATCCCACAACCCTTTGGGCTATCAAGGCATCCACCGCCGCAGCCGCCGCCACCACCACCACCACCAGTGGTCGCCGCCAACATCACAACCAGAAGATTGTAGTGATAATGGGTCCAACTGGGTGTGGCAAATCAAAGCTGTCAATAGACCTCGCCACTCGATTTTTCCCTTCGGAAATCATCAACTCGGACAAAATACAAGTCTACAATGGCCTCGACATCACAACCAACAAAATCCCAATACGACAGCGTTTTGGAGTCCCCCACCACCTCCTGGGTGAGTTTAACCCGTCCGAATCACAACCCGAGTTCGCACCCTCTGATTTTCGCCCACTCGCCTCCTCCACCATCTCTTCCGTCATTTCTCGTCGTAAACTACCCCTTGTCGTGGGTGGGTCCAACTCATTCATTTACGCCCTCCTTGCCAAACGATTCAACCCAAGCTTGGACGTGTTTGACCCCGAGTTATACCCAGTTAATCCCGTCTGTACCGAGTTACGTTATAACTGTTGTTTTCTTTGGGTAGATGTTTCTCCACCCGTGTTGAGTCAATATTTGTGTGAGCGAGTCGATGAAATGTTTGACTCGGGCATGTTTGAAGAGTTAGAAGACTTTTATACATCGGGCGAGGTTGACTCAGTGAGTCAGTCAGGTTTGAAGAAGGCCATAGGTGTGCCCGAGTTCGAGATATATTTCAAGAGATTCGGGTCCCGTACGACGCGCACGGATCCGCAGGTGCATGATGTGTACGAGGAAGCTATTAAGTTGATCAAAGATAACACGTGTCAACTGGCTAAGAGGCAACTGTGGAAGATCCAACGGCTGAGAGATGCTGGTTGGGACCTACGTAGAATAGATGCCACGGAGGCGTTCAGGGCGGCGATGGGGGTGTCGGGTTCAGATTCCGGCAGCAGGAGGGTGTCAGACATTTGGGAGAGGCAAGTTGTTGAACCAAGCGTGAAGATTGTGAAGAAGTTCTCGGGGGATTAGGGCTGTTTGGTTTGTATGTGAAAAAATAGTATTTGAATTTTTTTTTTTTGGAAGAGATTTAAGAAAGTGTTTTTAAAAATTTTTAGATTGTAAAATCTGTTTGGTTGTATATTTTTTAAAATAAATTAAAAGAACTAAAATTATAAAAATTTATTTGAACAATAATCTCTATCTCCTATCTCCGTCTCTCTCTCTCTCTCTTACTGTGCATCAAGACCCACAAAACTCAATGAACCATCGAAACCCACAAAGCATAGTGAACAACTACCCACAAAACACAGTGAACAACCACCAGCAAAACACGGTGAACCACCGAACCTAGAACTATCATCGAACCCACAATCACCATCGAAACCCATAATCGCCACCCGAAACCCATAACTACCACCAAAACCCAGACTCACCACCGAAGACAACAACACAACTGCTAGATAACAACTACAAAAAATAGAGACAGAGACACACACACACACACAGACGTTCAATGAGGCAAAGAAGAAGAATGAACAGTCAGAGAGAGAGCTCAGTGAAACAATTTTGGAGAAAATGAAACAGTTTATCTTTTTTGTCTCCAATGAAACTCAAAGGGAAGACCTTATTAATTTAAAGATAATTATTTCCTTTGTTTTTATTTTGCCTTAGAAAATAATAAAAATATTATTTTTTTGTTTTCTAAAATAACATCTCAATTCTAAAAATTTTCAAAAAATTGGAGAACAAAAAAAAACTAAACAAACATGTTTTTAGTGTTTTTGAAATTTTGAAAATAAAAATAGTTTTTGAAATTTAAACCAAACACGCCCTAGATTTTCCAGCTATTCCCACCTCTCTCATTTCTCTCTCTCTTCTCTCTTCTCTCTCTCTCTTGCTTGTTATTTTTTGTTTATGGGAGTAAAAATATCATTTTTCAAAATTTTGGGGGTTTCTTGTAAAAGTCTTACATACATAATTTGGGAAATTGAGGTTGGGACATATGGATTGAGCCGAAGAAGTCAAGGGATAAGATGTTTGGACAAAACAATATCAAATGACAATTCAATGTTATCATTAAAGATGATTGATTTGATAATACTATGTCATCAGTGAAGACGATTGATATTAGAGCATTAGAACGCACTCGACATGAAAATGTTGTGGTGATTGGGAGATTTGATTGTTTGGCGGGACTTCTTAACTGATAAATAAACAACAAAATGAAATGTAAATCCAAAAACTCTCTCTTTCTCTCAATTTTGCGTTCTTGTGGGTTGGAAGTTCTTTGAATCGATTTGGAATGTGGGTGTGAAGCTAGTGGACATACTGTACCTAATTGTCCTTTAGGGGTTGGAGCTAAAGGAACTGCTGGCCTAACTTTATTTTTGGTTTTGGAAATGAGTAAAAGGGTATTGCATTTTTATTATTGATGACACAGAATACAAAATAACAAACCAGTCTCAATTATTCAATTCGAATTGCAAATTAGTTTTTACTCTAAGCACGTCCCATTCTATAAGAATGAGTATAATATGGTAAGTGTACTTGGAAAAAAATCTTGTATTTTTAATTAATGATGACATGAAAAATTGAGCGATTAATTTTAAAATAAACGAATAAAATACACGTCTTTCTACAAATGAACAAAATACACCTCTTAATAAGCGTTGCTGAATCTGATTCAATTGAATAACGGAACTTTCATATGCTCTTGGTCCTAGCAACATGTCGTGTGCGAGATAGTGACAAAGAGGAAAGTATTATATAATAAATTATTAGCCCTAGTCTACTAAAGGTCAAGTGATGAAGATGACAAAAATGATGAAATAGCATCTTACCCTTTGGTTGAAATTAAAAAAAAAAAGCAAAAAACTCAACCTATCCAAATCCAAGAGGTGTTATTGGTGGGGATAAGGTGTTGGATTGGAGTAGTACCAACGGAGGGGAGGGGGGGGGGGGGGGGGGGGTAATGGATTCGTGGCATGTTTCAAACTCCAGACTTTGTTTTTAATTTTTGATAATTCCATTATTTTTGTATTTCTGTTGGCTTTAAAACAATGAAAACTATAAGCTGGTAAAAGGGCATAATAGGTATTTCAGCAAAGAGGAAAATGATTATGTAGCTTGTTCATTGATAATCAATTAGCTACGGTATCCAAAAAAAATAAAAAAAAATGACATACTTATGTCAATCATGTTAGGTGAATCGTGTTTGCGTTTGTATCAAATTTTAATAAAAAATTTATTTTATTTATACTTAATTCGTTTATTAATTTGTACTTAACGAATTATGTCATATTCAGTCTTTGTCCTATATAAATTATATATAATTAATATATAAACGAATTGTGTAGTATATGTTTTATTAATTTCATTTGTACTTAATTCACTTATTTGTCGTGTCATATAGGATTATTTTGTTTACGAAACAAGTAATTTAAAAAAATATTCAACCTCTTTAATTTTAAATCATTTTCACGAACCGGGTAATATTTTACCACCCCTAGGTGCAACTGGAACTGTCTGAAGACTAAAGACATTTACCTTTGTATTCAATCCACCCCTTTGTTCTTTCTCCTTTTATTCTACACCCAAAACATCCTTTTCCCCAGAAAAAAAAAAATTATACAACATTGGGTCATGCACGCCATGGAAGAAAGTCATGAAGTACCCTTCCCAGTATATGCGAGTCATGTCATCCTAGCGTAGGAGTCGTTCTAATTTTATTTGATGCCCTGGAGGACCATTAAGGCATATAAGAAAATTAAAGAAAGTCGGAGAAGAATCGAATTCCACACCCAATTTGCACGATCCGAATTCGAATTCGATTATCAAAATTTGATCTGATAATTCAACAATTTTATTTTTGTGATCCATATCTGAATCAGTCAAAAATTCAATCCGAATAACATAATTAATTAAATTTTAACAAATTATTCCCAAATTTTAACTAAATTTCTTTAAATAATCACATAATTTTTTAAATTTTTATATAAAAATATATAAATAATTCGGATCGAATATAGATATATCTAAATCCGAATTCGTGAAATATAAGATATTAGATTCGGATCTGAATTCAGATGAATAGTAAACAATATTAATTCATATCTGACTAATCGAATTCAGATCAGAATCCGATCCCTTGACAAACCTACATGGAACAACGTACTCTAATTTCTTTGTTTAGGGTTTTATAACCAATGCACAAATCTCCCGCATATAATAAGTTCTAGGAGAGATAATTGAAGGAAATTTGACCCTCAATTTGCAAAGTCGAATTCTTAGACTCAAACCAATGACTATTGCTTAGGCAATTATCCTTTATTAAACTTCCATGTCTTACGGAACTGATATGCTTAAGACCTTTTTTCTTTGATCATCAAGATTCAAGGCCATGGAAGATGCTTAAATGAATTAGTCTAAAGAGATGTTCATGTAATTTCTAATATAAAACAAACCTAAATGTTGGTTTTAATCTTGAATGGTACAGGGATTGGCACGACGGTCGCCGTTCAAAACTTGTCTTCTTCTTCATTCTTTTTTTTCTGTACAGTCAAAGATCAGAATGGACCAGAAAATGACTAGTAGACATTTTCATATGTTGCAGTCGGGTTCAACATTAGATATCTGTTAAGTCCTATTCATTGTTATGAATTGATTCAATGCGTAACGTAACCGAAGTACTGTAGAAGAATGAAACAATGTCTTCATAAAATTTACATTGAGAGTGACATTAATAGTCCTTATATCAAAGTAATATGTAACGACCGACTATGATCTTTACCTCAAAAGCCTTCTACATTGACTACAATTTTTACTTAATCAACAACATTTACGAATATAGATGTAGATATATTTGTGAAGTGTAATTCAAGGTTGACGAAAATTGTACGTGTCTCTTATTTGTCTTTTTTCTTTAAATCATTCAAATGGAGTTGAGGTCACAAATGTTGTATACAGTTTGAATGTAGAACGTTGAATAGTGAAGTATAACCCAAACTTGATGTTAATGTTAAATGTTGTATACGACAAACTGTACAGATGGTCAATGATTGATAAACTTCTAAATAAATGATTACAGAAACTTCTCTCAAATGTTTCGAAGAAGTTCCCTTCAAAAGTCGTTGTCTATGAACTCCAAAAACTTTTGTGACTGAAAATATATATATCTTGAGCTTCAGTTTGGTTATGTGGGGACCTAACTAGTTCAAGGAGGTCTCTATCAGATTCATTCAATCAAATGTTTTTTTTTTCTTCTTTCTTTGTTCCTAATACTTATTTTGGATGATTGATGGTGACATTCTTCAAAGGAGGAAGCTATGGTTGGAAACTTGAAATGAGAGAGCATCGGAATTTGTTGGGCCGGTTCAGGCCTAGAATTATAGACCAGACTCATAATCATAGACGAGACCTAATTCAGAGGCCTAATTTAAGAATGTAAGCGAGGCCGACCACAAGAAGAAAGAAGCTCGGTCAACCACGTCATCCTGAGAGAGAGTCAGATCAATTGTTTCATATCAAGGGACTCGGTGTATAACTGACAGGCAAAGAAATCTCTTTAGGATGTGCATGTCACCACCCTCCACGGAATTGGCTCACCTGTTATGAGAAGGGAGCTACCTCCACGAAACTAGCTCAGTTGATACGAGAAAGACGTCTCAATTTGTTAGGAGGCGCCTATAAATTGTAAGTCCAACCTACACAACGGGACATCTCACCTATCACTCACACTTGAGCACCCAACACTCCTTGAAGTAATAAAACACTCAGGTCATCCTAATTCTTTGCAGTGGAGTAGGTTACCTTGACTGAACCATTTAAATTGTGTTTTGCTTGTATTGACTCTCTTTATTTATTACTGTATTATATACTTGATAGGTGATGCATAAACATATTTTGTGCATGAATTGAGTCCCAATCATAGGTTGGACACACATTCATAGTTTACATGTGGTATGTTTATTTTTAGTCTAATGTAAATACAGCACGTGTAAGATTTTTTAAGTTATTAACTTTTCAATCCA